TTTTCTCATAGGAGTTATATTAAGTGTCATCTGCAAAAATAAAGGTTTTTGGATGCAAATTATCAGGAAGATCATTCACATATAATAGAAAAAGCAGGGGTCCTAATACTGATCCTTGAGGAACTCCGGCATTTATGGCTAAATTATTTGGGTAATTTGTATTGTCATAGCTATTATTCAGTTTAACTTTTACTCTTCTGTTGGATAAATCCCCTGTTTAACTCCGCTATAACTTTATAAAACTCCAAGAGATTTGGCTTAAATTGTATATATACACTATAAGGACTGTCTGTTTCAACGTTTCTAAAACAGGGGTTCTGTAACAGGACATAAAACCTTAACGGAGCTTCTTAGGATTTTTTTGGTTGACACTATAATGGCATCGCATCACATCAAACTATGTTTAGTTCGGTGGGATTTGCTACTCCGCTGCGGTTGGATTAGCTACTCCGTGCAGTTGCTATTTTTGGCTCGTGCTGAGGCAAGAGCCATATCTCACTTGGGTTGGGTTTAGTAGTAAGTGATAACGACACTGGACTGAGGTTTAAACGTTAGTTTCAGGCTGGTTTCACGTTAGTTTACTAGATATAGTAGAAAACCTGATGCCATGGGTTAATATTTATTGATGAAAATGAGATAGAGCAAAAGTTTAACCCTAAGGTGTTAGTTTATAATAAAATTGCTGCATTAGAGAGGGTTTCAAACGACATATACGCAATGACTCTGACAAATGTTTATGCAAAAAGATGTAAGGGTGATTCTGCTTATATCTTGTGAAATCATTGAAAAACAAAAACACGTCGAAATCGTTTGCGCACTTTTGTTACGAAAACGGATCCGTTTACGTAACTGGCTTAACGAGTTCCTCTACAGTGCTGCAGCACGTTTACCAAGACGTTTTTTCTATTTTTAAACTAAACAAAACAATGATGAATGCATGTGAAATCGAAAAAACTTTTTAATCTGTATCGGAACAGGATATTCATAAGAACTTTTATACACAGAGTTATGTGGTAAACGTTCATAATAGATCTAACGGCCCCGGAGTGCAGGGTGTCTGTACGCCATTTTAAATAACTTCGTATTGAATCTGAACTGGCTTCTACAATATTCCCGCAGAAGGACGATTGGATATTGGCTATTGCATGTTAATTGGTTATCATACTGGAGGAGACATGACCTAACTTCCTTCCTTCATGACATTGCCAATTCTTCATTTCGCAGCCAGATTGATTTGAGTACAAAATCCCGAAAAGCTTAAGAGAGAGTGGGCGTATTCATATCTCAGAATAGAGTACATTTCATCTCTCGGACTACTTGTCATACTATAAGGAAGAGGTTTGGCACATTCACTCCTCTAAAGTGTTGTGTAAAATACTTATAAAGTCTTTATGTATTTCACATTTGAAACTGCTCCGTCACAGCGGACAAAAATGAATATTATATTTTGTAAAACAATTAAAAAGACCCAATACATCCAGATCTCATATACTTTCAGTGTTAAGCTGAAAACATGTGTAATTGTTTCGTGTCACTATCCCGTGCCATTAAAAAGTTAAAAAAAGAAATGGTACATTTTTAAGAGTATGATTCTCAGGCGCCATTTTCAATAGCCTTTACTCCTAGTGTTATTGGACTTCAAACTGAAGTGAAGGTTACCCGCATATCATCCATTGCATGGGGTAGGTAATTGTCTTTGGTATGACGAAACATTTGAGTTAAAAATAAATTGTGAAATTTGCTTACTGTTTTATGAAAAATAGTATGATCCGTCACAGCGGACATATCTTTCGATCCTAGCCCGTGGTATAATTGTGTATAATGTGTAGAGTCTTTTAAAAATATTTTAAAATAATTTTTCAAAATTGCTCATTGTTGAAATCATCTATACCTTAAAAACTCCAAGCAATTTGCTTTTAACAGGACGAATCAGCACGGAGCAATCTCAATTATTCTGATTCAAAGTAATGAAAATCACGGTTCTTGAACTGGACATATTACTGGATTTTCCTGTGGTTTTAGTTACTATTCAGCCCCCCCCCCCCATTCAACTTTATTTACAAGGTTTCAGTTGCTCCAACTTCATTGGAATTCGAAGATGGTTACTATATTGCATCTTGGAATTCCAATAGACTACAAGGTATGATGTGTTCATATTGAAAATTGAAAATCAAACTGGGAGACGAGTATGACTATACCAGGCCCGTCAGATGGGGGGGGGTGCGATGGGTGCGACCGCACCCCCCTTTGACACCCCCCAAAAAAAATTTGAAAAAAAAAAAAATTGAAAATCTTTTTTTTGTAATTTTTTTTTCATCATCTCATACACTTAAATAGCGTTTTAAAATTGTAAAATTTTCTAGGGGGAGTGCACCACCCCTCACACCCCAAAAAACAATTGAAAAGTTCTGAATTTATTTTATATATCATCTCAGACACATGTAAAGTGCCCAGACATCATCAAATAGCTCCTTGATATAGTCAATGATTCTGGGAGACTAACACATACTCGCCCTCATGCATCCCCAACCCACCTCCCCCTCTGACATCCCCTCCCCCTTTGACATCCCCCAAAATATTGAGATTTTTTCAAAAAAATTTATCGTGTCATACACTTCGAAAGTGCCAGGGAAGCACCAAATAGCATCTTAAAATTGTAAAATTTTCCAGGGAACCCCTCACACTCCCCCCCCCACAAAACAATTGACAAAAATTCTGAATTTATTCCATGCATTGTCTCAGACACTTTTAAAGTGCCAAGACTTCATCAAATAGCACCTTGATATGGTCAATGTTTCTGGGGGCAGATATGGGGGACAAACACTTGCTCCCCCTCTGGCACCCTAATCCCACCTCCCCCTCTGGCATCCCCTTTGACACCCCCAAAAATTGAAAAAAATGTAATTTTTTTTCGATTGACTCATACACTTTAAAAGTGCCCTCGCCCCCCTTGACACCCATCCAAAAAATTGAAAAAATTGTGATTTTCTCATTTTTTAAATTAACTCATACACTTTCAAGGAAAGTGTCCAGAGAGCACTAAATAGCGTTTTAAAATTGTAAAATTTTCTAGGGGAAGTGGACCACCCCTCACACCCCAAAAAACAATTGAAAAGTTCTGAATTTATTTTATATATCATCTCAGACACATGTAAAGTGCCCAGACATTATCAAATAGCTCCTTGATATAGTCAATGATTCTGGGAGACTAACACTTACTCGCCCTCTTGCATCCCCACCCCACCTACACCTCTGGCACCCCCTCCCCCTTTGACATCCCCCAAAATATTGTGATTTTTTCAAAAATGTTTATCGTGTCATACACTTCGAAAGTGCCCAGGAAGCACCAAATAGCATCTTAAAATTGTAAAATTTTTCAGGGAAGTAGGCCACCCCTCACACCCCCCCCCACAAAACAATTGACAAAAATTCTGAATTTATTTCATGCATTGTCTCAGACACTTTTAAAGTGCCAAGACTTCATCAAATAGCACATTGATATGGTCAATGTTTCTGGGGGCAGATATGGGGGACAAACACTTGCTCCCCCTCTGGCACCCTAATCCCACCTCCCCCTCTGGCATCCCCTTTGACACCCCCAAAAATTGAAAAAAACGTAATTTTTTTTCGATTGACTCATACACTTTAAAAGTGCCCAGAAGCACCAAATCTGGAAGAGTTGGCCACCCCTCACACCCCCACAAAACAATTGAGAAAACTTTGAATTTCATGTATTGTCTCAGACATTTTTAAAGTGCCCAGACATCATCAAATGGCACCTTGATATGGTCATTGTTTCTTGGGGCAACCCCTCGCTCTCCCTCTGGCACTCCACCCCACTTCACCCTCTCAATCTCTTTGACATCCCCAAAAAGAATTTGAAAAAAATTCACTTTTTATTGACTCATTCACTTTAAAAGTGCCCAGAAAGCACCAAATGGGATCTCAAAAGTGTAAAATTTTCTAAGGGGAGTGGGTCACTCCTCACAAGTTTGGAAGTTGCATTTGTTATTTTAAACACTTTAAAAGTGCCTAGAAGTCACCAAGTGACATAATGAAATCATAAAAACATAAAAATTTCTGGCAGCCCACTCCAAAAACTAAAGCATTCATTTACTCAAACACATTAAAGTGCTCAGAATTAACCAGACAGCAAATTGAATTAGTGAAATTTTCCTTGCTGGCCCCCTAAGAAGAAAATGATTGAAAAAAATCTGAATTTCTTATCAATAGATTCTATTTCAATTAAAAAAAATTCTGGGCCCACCCATACAAGATCCGCCAGTGCATAACGCGGGGGTAACGGTAGGGTACATGTACAACACAAGGAATTTGTATGCGTTATACCGTCTCTCAGGTAAATTGACCTGCGCTTTATACCGTTTAGTATATTCGCAGTTTTGTGTAGGTTCAGGCCCGTAGCCAGAATTTACCCGGGGGGAGCTGTTCTACCATGGGGGAGGTTTTGCCAGGTGGGGGGGGGGATTTTCAACAGTTTTTGACAAAAAAAACATTTTAAAAGTGCTCAGAATGATGAAACACGGTATGACTGGCCGCTCCGTCCGTCCGCCCCCCCCCCCCCGGCTACCGGCCTGATTTTTAACTATGAAATTTACTGTGAAGCTCACTGTCTAGAATATTATACATCTGTCTAGACATTTACATTTACAAATGTCATCAAATCTCCCTTTTCCCAAATACAAAAATTCCGACGCATTTTGTACTAATGGAAGTCACTTAATAACCCCTATCTCAGCCTACCTGGGTTCAAACTCTTAAATATTCTCCAAAGTATAATTTAAAATCGAATTGGTTATTGTAAACCCAAAAATAACCCATTATGGCCATTTGAGTTGCATTTGGCATTTTGAAATTGACCTTCATAAAAGTAATACAAATGACTCCTCATATCTGTGTCCTCTTATATTTTGATACTTCTCTGCCATGTTATTTTCGGAAAAATTGGTGATGAAAGGGTTAATATCAAATTGGCATTCACTAAAAATTCGAATGGAGATCAGATTCTTAAAGCGGACATCCTCCCTCAACTTTCGAATGATGTATTGGTAGTTTAAAAACACCGATCGTTCGCATTTATTGACTTATTGGACGGTCGCATTTTTAGTGGATAGTAAACTCGGTAAGTTATTTAGTAACCTCTTTTATACTATATTCTAGTTAATCATCAACTTTATACTTGTTAAATACTGATCCTTGAATAATAACTAGTTACAGTTTATCCATTTACGATTTATTTTTACAATGACAGTAACAGTTTGATAGGATTTTTCATTGTAAAAAGTTTTTTTTTAAAACAAAAGTCTACTTTTTTCTTACTCGAGTCTCTAGCTTACAGCTAGGCTAGACGAAACTTCATTGATTTCGTATGTACTGTGCTACACGCAACTACACGCACCTAGAACTCATTTTTAATAAATTTTATAAATATTTTTAAGAATATTAATCATATTTAGGATGAAGCGTTGCTTGTCTGGATTTAGATATTTCAAAATTTCATTTCGGAGTTTGACACAAGGTGAAATTTTCTCGCTGTAGCTAAAAATGGCTTCCGGTTCTGGACGTGAATAACATTTGAAATTATTCTCGCTTAAGGTTCAGCTGGAAAGTAACATTTTGGTAAAAAATTGCTATACCTGCACATGTTATTTTCTGGTACAAAATTAAGTATGAAGGCATATGTGTATTTCCTTGCTTTTTTCAGGAAAGTATCATTACACTGTCTTCTTTTAGAATATCTGGAAACAGGTCAATGGTAGCTCCTGTGTTGTCTGGAAACTTTGAAAGAAAATTTGGAAAAATAGAAAGTGTGAAATATCAGAATTTACTGGAGTTCCCATTGAACGCCTACAAGATATTTTAAAAGAAGACAATGTAATGATACTTTCCTGAAAAAAGCAAGGAAATTGACACATGGCTTCATACTTTATTTTGTACCAGAAAATAACATGTGCAGGTATAGCAATTTTTTACCAAAATGTTACTTTCCAGCTGTACCTTAAAGAAATCAAATATAACAATAGATTCAGACGGGGATGTGAGCTGATGTTCTTCAAATCTATACATAAAGGTATATTTCATATTATTATGCCATATTTACTGTGCGTGTGACACAATGACTCAATATTTATAATACTAAGGCAGCTCAATCTTCCTCCTCAAAGCCGGAATATAGAGAAGGCTTTGGACCGAAGTAACTTTTTTCTACTTCTAAGCTTACAGTCAAAACCGTAAATTATGTTTGTGAGTACTTTGAATTTAAAAAAATAAGCAATCAAAAGACCATATTCAAACAGTTTATGTAAAAATAGAAACATTTATATTTATCCTAACTTTTGTATATTTTAGTTTGTTTTTTACTACTTTTTGTTTTCTACTACTTCGTCGCTAACATGCTAAATATAAGAGTTAGCTGACGTTTGGGAGTCTGACTTACCTTCTAAAGGTTAGAACCCGGATCTTAATGAAACCATATCACCTTTGTTCCGTCAACCATGGAGCATTTGCCACAACATCCAAGAGGTAAATCATGGACCGAGAAAATGAATGATTTCCTTGTAAATTCCGGAAGTTTCAATACGAAAAATTACCGAACATATATGAAAACCGAATATTTGCAAAAAGGTAAGAAGGTAAGTCAGACTCCCAAACGTCAGCTAACTCTTATAGTTAGCATTTCTACTTCTAAGCTTACAGTCAAAACCGTAAATTATGTTTGTGAGTACTTTGAATTTAAAAAAATAAGCAATCAAAATACCATATTCAAACAGTTTATGTAAAAATAGAAACATTTATATTTATCCTAACTTTTGTATATTTTAGTTTGTTTTCTAGTTTACTATTTTTTTCATGGCCTGAGTTCGTCGCTAACATGCTAAATATAAGAGTTAGCTGACGTTTGGGAGTCTGACTTACCTTCTAAAGGTTAGAACCCGAATCTTAATGAAACCATATCACCTTTATTGCATCGATGATGATGCATAAACACAGCATTTGATAGAAATTAGTGTAAATGCTTTTCCGACTTTTTCATTTTTCATCAATGTTGACTTCCGGGAAGGCGTTGTAGTTATCACGAAATAACACATTGACCCTTGAACTTTACTGTCAACCAAGCATGTCTGGTGTGAAAATTAAAAGAATATTAAGCAATGTTCTACATCCGCCAAGCTAAGTGAAGTAGCCAATATTTAAAATTACCAATTTCAAGTGAAGTACGCAACGAACGAAACTGTGTGATCTGCACTCCCAATATTGGTCTGAACGAAATGCTAAGTAGAAATATGAGCCGTCTACTGTATTAGTCGATTAATAGAGTAATACCTGTTGGTGATGCTTTATAATTTAGACCAAAACATTGGAGAACAAACGAAACCTGTAAATCGTGAAAACAACGAACAAATATTCGGTTTTCACATATGTTCGGTAATTTTTCATATTGAAACTTCCGGAACTTACAAGGAAATCATTCATTTTCACGGTCAATGATTTACCTCTTGGATGTTGTGGCAAATGCTCCATGGTTGGCGGAACAAATGTGATATGGTTTCATTAAGATTCGGGTTCTAACCTTTAGAAGGTAAGTCAGACTCCCAAACGTCAGCTAACTCTTATAGTTAGCATGTTAGCGACGAACTCAGGCCATGAAAAAAATAGTAGCTATCATATCTGTGTCCTCTTATATTTTGATACTTCTCTGCCATGTTATTTACAGAAAAATTAACATCGCTGAAACTCCCTAAATTACAAAAGGCCACAGCTTTGCTGCACATTATACATTACTATCTGAAATATACAAAAGTTAGGATAAATATAATTTTTTCTATTTTTACATAAACTGTTTCAATATGGTCATTTGATTGCTTATTTTTTAAATTCAAAGTACTCACAAACATTACTGTTTTGACTATAGCCAAGGACGTCCTTGTTCTAGCCTAGTCATATAAATCCGACCGTTGTATGCTGTTCTTCGATGTTCCTTATTCTTATTTGGATATTTATTTTTTATCATTTTCTTAGCATACGGTCATAGATATAATAGCTAACAAATTGTGGGAAACGCTTTCCTGCCCGTGTGCAGGGGTGATTCACCCTTCATATTCGATCACGTGGTACCTGTGTGCTAGATCCATATAAGCGGCCCTAGGATGGGCCAAGAAAAAAATGTTGGGCCAAAAATATTGTAGGGCCTCTTAAGTAGGCCTTTACTTGACCTTTTTACTTGACCTTTTTGGGCCTTATTTTTTTCAATGGTAGGCCAAATTTTCAAAAATCGTGCCATAGGTTTCAAAAGCGCGGATATTTTTTCCTGACTTGATGTGTGGGTCCCCCCTTGTTAGCTTCAGGATCGGCCACTGTCCTTTACAATACAAAGGGGCTTGGTTTAGCATTTGGAATTTTTTTTGGGGGGAGGTTTTGGGGGGGGGTTCGAGCCCCCCCTTACAAAAAGCTGGCTACGGGCATGTAGATCAAGCCATTTTGGCAATGCCAATTCTCACGATAAATGAGATTTAACCAGTGACGTCAGTCTATTTGTAAACAAATAACACGTGGAGCGTATGGAGCAACATTACGGAAGCGTATTGATAAATTCAATTTGTGCGGGAACTTATTAGATCTAGTCATTTATTATCATTATCCCGATTGATTTTTGTCATTTATAGTAAATAGAGCGGGAATATTCATGAAGAAGGCCCAGGTAATCAAGTGATCATGTGTTTGAAGTTAAAGTCAAAGTTCAAAAATGTGCATATCTCGTTTGGATCTCGTGAACTCAAACGTCCTTGACATTGATATCGCGATCTACTTATGAACACATCCTGAAATTTTGGTGTGTCTGAACATTTCATTATTTTATATCAACTTGTACCCGCCTTATACAAATATTTTTGCTTCTTAGTTTAAGATGAACATCTCTTCAACATATTCACCAATTTTCAAGGTGAACATTCTTGTAATAAACAAGAAATTTATGTGCACAAAATATCGCCGTGATTTCCACCATAAGGGTATCAATCATAACAGACCGAAAATTATATGTTCGGTCTGTTGGATACATACTAATATGGGATGGCTTAGGGGAATCCCCGAATACGATAGAATATGATAGTATTATGGGAGCTACAGTACTCACTTCTTCTGGCTGTGTGAGTACAGTCTGTTAAGGTCAGGGTGCATGATGGGAAATTTTCTGCATTCCTCAATCGAGTCACATGTTATTTTTCAAGCAAGAATCACTCCTTCCCCACATTGTCTATATCTTCCAGTTTTGCACAAAGAGTGCATTTATGTGCCTAGAAAAGACTTAAAGAATAATGTTTTGATAAAGTGTATAAAAAACAAAAAAAATCAGTGAAAAAATTCAGAAATTTTTCAGAAATTTTTTTCACTGAATTTTCTCGTTTTTTGTACATTTTTCAAAACAAATCTTGATAAATGCCAGCCATGACTGTTCGATGGGATTTGCTACACTTTGGCGTTGCTGTTGTCTCGTTTACATTATGTATACTCTTATCCACTAATGTATGGCCTCTCTTGAAAATTATCTTATTTTTAACATGGGAAATCCTCGCTTCAGCAAATATACCATTTATTCATTTATGGTCCAAACTGTAAGACTAGTACCAAGACTTGTTCCAGTGCCAGGACAATAGTCCTGAGAAAGTCCCAATCTTGTCTCTATGATTACAACATGGGAGAATAATCCTGACCTCTTGCACTTAAAACCGACCTCATTAAATTCATGGACATTTTAGGATTCCTTTTACATGTTTAATCCCCAATTGAATGGATTTATCAACAACATGTTATTTAACTTATTTCAACCATCAAAAATTCTTCCGTCTATTGGTACATCCAGGCTCTGCAGCTCCAGACATGGATGTTAATAAGGGAATTACCCTTCTAAGATTTTCGACATCTAAAATGTCACTAGACTTTTTTGCAAAAAACCTTCCAAAAAGTAACAGTCGCATTAATTCACATTGTCGTACTTACAAAATGATCCACCGCCTAACTTATGTACCATCGAACTCGGTAATATTGTACACGTAACTATTAATTACCGTATATTCCCATAGAAAACTGGGCTTGCTTTTCAACATTTCAAGCGAAAATTCTCTA